GTTCACCCCCTTAGTAACTAACAGGTCTGCAGCCTGCAGTGTGGGACAGCTCAGATACGCTACTCAGCGGGGCGCTTTTTCACACTTGCGTGAAGAAAAAGGTGTGAAAAGGTGGATACAAGTGTGTGTTGGTGTATTCTGGCAAATAAATAAAGACTGATTCTTGAATGTCTGAAGGATTATTGCAATAGCACCACACCGAGAGCGAGGGTCAGAACAGAGGGAGTTATTCCCTTAGGAAACGCTTTTCTTTGACCCTGGAGCGACACTCCCCCCTGCACCCCTCGACCACGGTCTGGGGCTTATAGGAAAGTTTTAACACAAGCGGAGAATACGAAAGTGCAGCAAAAACATGTGTGAATATGCCCGTCACGACGGATGACGTAATGTGACGCACAATATCAAGTCCCCACCACACCTCATCCCCCACTCCCCACCACCCGCCACACTGACCCTCCTCATCTGGGCTTTACAAAGCGGGCCCTGGTCCAAGTCTTCAAGAGTGTCTGGGCGCGGTTGAGGCTACCGTGCCCAAGCCCACTTGTCGCGGTCACATAGCACCTAAAGCCCGGGTTAGGGTTAAGTGGCCCACTTAAACCGGGCTTTGAGCTGTACATGTGACCGCAGCCGTATTCTCCCAACTCCCCCTATCTCTCACCCCAGCACACATGCATTTGTTACTTCATGTCTGTTGTGACAAACTTCTCACTGTTTTTTTAATCCATTGTGAGGCGTCCTTGGGTGTCTTGAAAGGCACCACAAGGCAGTACATTCATATAATAATTGTGATACGAGACACTTCTTTGAGAGCCAGAAACTTATAGATTCATTGTTCTAAATATAGACTTGTGTTTTGAAAGTTGTACCCTGGCTTTAATCTTTAATGGCAATTTTTTTTAAATCAAATTTGACTGAACACAATCGCAACCCATCCAAACAACAACATTGTTATACACACTCTCCTCATCCATCACTAACTGGCTCTGAACTGTTGCATTATTGAGACGTGTGTGGTCCAAAAACACATCATTTTACCACACGCCACACTTTGCACAACTCAGCAGCTCATCTTTATTTGGTTGCCAGGCTTGCTCTCATGTCCCATCTATCAGCTCTACATACTGCCCTGCTGGGACCGTGTATGGAGCCTGGACCATATATTGTGGTCTGCACGCCAGTTTGCAGTCTTCAGGTGAAGCCGCACTCATTCGTCTCCTGTCACGGAGTGTTGGACTGAGCCAAACCGCGACATCAGCAGCCGAAATGCACGCTGCTTTGATTAAAAGGTATTTCAAAGTGTATGTAGGAGGTTTATTCATTGTACAATTTCCCTATAAATGCCCTGAGAAAGAATAGAAAAAAAGGGAATGTAATAATAGTATACTAGTGATGGTTCTAATGGCGGTTGAAGGAAGGGATAGAAGCCAGTAGTATATAAAGATTAGGAGAAAAACAAATAAAACTATATGTAACTAACTAATTAACTTAATGGGAAGACAATGGATGGATAATGCTATTTTTGGCTTTGGTAAGATTAAGTACTGTACCCTTACAAAAAATATAAAGTTACATGTGGATGTGCATTGTGTTAAGGCTATGGTATAGAAGCAAAGCAGATTAAGATTAAGAAAAAGGAAAAGCAGATATTTATTGAGTGTTTGGCTTGGCATGGCATGGCTTGGCTTGGCTGGGTGGTCTCTGGAGCAGGCAGGTGTTTCTGGGAATTAAAAAAAACTGCAAGAGACAAAGAGACCAAGGAACAGACTGACACACGGGGAACATGATACATTATGTAAAGTTGTTTTGACAATCAGAGGAGACGCTCAGGAAGGTGTTCAAGAACCCGACAATCTTAGGTGCAGTACGACACCAATCAGGTCTGTATGGAAGAGTGGCCGGAAGGATGCATTTTCTCAGTAAAAGGCACAGGAAAACCAGGTCTTGTTACTCACACTGGGGCATAGTCTGTGAATGTCCTTGAGGCCCAGCAAGAGCCCAGACCTGAACCCAATTGTAAATCTCTGGAAAGATCTGGAAATAACACTGACACACTCCATCTAACTTGACAGAACTGGAGAGGATCTGCAGAGAAGAGAGGGAAAAAATATCCAAGTTGACTTGAGGCTGTAATTGCTGCTGTAACATAATACTGTGAAGAAGATATATCTGTGCTTTGCGTTTAATCAAATGGCAAAGTATGCTCTAAAAAATTTTATTCAGTTTGACATTTTAGAGTAAAGCAAGCAGATTGCTGAGAGATTTAGAATGTAATCCTAATTGTAAAGTGTGGAAAATGCATAAAACATGAAGGAGGATGAATACCACACATACTGTGCCAAAAGTATTTACGGAGGAGCTCTGGAGTTGCTGGGATGTGTGTGTGAGGAAATGATTTACGAAGGTTGAATTATCAGCCTATGTCAAGAGGTGAGGGATTCCAGAGGACACTAAACTAAATATACTATGCACCAAACACTCCATAGGCTTGAGACAACACATGGCTTAACAGGAAACAGAACAGTGTAATGTCCCCATGTTTGAGCTGCTTATGGTCATGTATGTGTGAATAGGTCTTTGACAAACAGTAGCTGGCTGGAATATGAAATGTATTTTGGCTTTGTTATACTGGAAAGTGCAGCCAGATACAATAATTGTTTTAGATGAGTATTTATTGAGAACCTTTACTATTCCCACTGTGGGGAAATGTTGATGTTACAGAGCACATACAGCTATCTTTCTCTTTTTAGCTTCAGGATCCATGCCCCATGGCACACATGTGGGTTTGTTTACAACAGTGGCTGCCTGGCTCAGGGCTGTGCTGAATAATATGAATAACAATAATAATAAAGCATCAGGGTTTTTTTCTTTGGCACTCAAAGATGCTTCATGCGTCAGTATTCTTTCACTCCATACCAGGTAGTGATACACAATTACCGTAGCCACAGCTGCCCTTGGGAACCCTTCGACCACCAACAACCATTAACACACACCAGTAGGGCTGCACAATATATCGAAAAAATATCGTTATCGTGATATTGGTGCGTGCGATATGCATATCAAAATGTTGATATCAAAACGCATAATTTCTAATAATTTTAATGTCTAAATCATGCATTTTCTCATATGCGCATCTTGACCAATCCGCTGTGACCTTACATGGGTGTTTAGCAGCCGTCTTTAGTAGCCGCCTCTCTATTGGCCAGAAGGAGCACAAGCGCGGGGGAGGGCGTACAGTCAGAATAACAAGCATGGCGGGTGAGGAAGATAATGAGAACGAAAGCTGGGAGCAACTTATTCCAAAAAGACATTCTACCTCAAGAATATGGAACTACTTTGGTTTTACGGTACAGGACGAAACACAAAAGCAAGTTATTTGCAAGTCATGCAGAAAAAGAGTGGCTACGTCGAGGGGAAACACAACCAATCTCCACAGCCACCTTCAACACAACCACAAGGAACTATATGCTGCATATAAAACGCCACAGCCAACTACGGTTAAGTCAGTGAAAAGAAAGGCAAACTCGTTGGTCACCATTACTGAAAGTTTCGCCACTGTCACTCCTTATGAGAAAACATCGAAGAGACACAAAGCATTAACTGCAGCCATCACACGATACATAGCGAAATGCACACTCTCCGTGAATGAGGTGTGTAAAGAGGGCTTTATAGAAATGGTAAAGGAGTTCGACAAAAGATATAAAGTGCCATCCCGGACCTATTTCTCCAAAGTCGTAATTCCGGAGATGTACGAATCATGTGTAAAGTCTGTAAAGGAAGAACTCCGTGAAGTGGACTTTTACGCTAGCACCACGGACTTGTGGTCCAGTCGAACCACTGAGCCACTGAGCCACTGAGCCAGCTTTACTGTTCACTTTTTGACGTGCAAATTTGAACTGAAAACGCGTTGCCTGGAAGTCGCTTACTTCCCCAACTCACACACCGGTGACAACATTGCTGCTGCCCTGCGGGATGTTTTGATCAACTGGAACTTACCAGAAGACAAACAAGTGTCAATAACAACAGACAACGGCGCCAATGTGGTGAAGGCTGCTGAGGTTAACAACTGGGTCAGACTTCAGTGCTTTGGCCATCGCTTGCATCTGGCAATTGGTGAGTGTTTATGATAATAAATATTTACATTTGACATGTCAAGGGCCTATACCTGATTTAATACATTAATCACCATTTCTTTTAGTTATTTTATCATTATAGTATTAATAATAATAATAATAATGGTCCATCTCTAACATTTAACATACTCTGGACAGGGATGAATTTAAAAACACGTTTCCCTTTTATAAGAGTGCAAAACTGTAATGGTACGGTCTAAAATCAGAACCAGAAGTAATTAGTTGCTTACAACACATAATTTACTACTAGCAGCTTCAAAAATCTTGTATAGGGCCTTAAATGTTTCATTAAGTTATTTGTGTATTTATTTTATGCATTTAGACATTAAACTTTTCTTTTTTTTGTCTTTTGTTTCAGAGAATGCAGTCAAAGGTGACGATCGTATTACAAGAGCTGTTGGACTTTGCAAGAAGTTGGTGGGGCACTTCTCCCATAGTTGGAGGGAGAAGACTGCCCTAAAAAAAGCACAAAGAGAGCACCACCTCCCAGAACATGCATTGATAACAGAATGCCCCACAAGGTGGGGGTCCAGACAACAGATGATTCAAAGAGTTCTTGAGCAGCAGAGAGCCCTGAGTGACGTCCTTTCAGCAGATAGGAAGTCCAGACATTTGGTTCCGACTTGGCAGGATGTGGATATTCTGGAATCCATAAATCAGGCATTGCAGCCTCTACAAGAGTTCACAGATGCCCTTTCAAGTGACTGCTACGTTAGTGTTTCATATGTGAAACCAGTACTTCATGTGTTCAACACCTGCGTTCTTGCTGCAAAAGAACAAGAAAGTGATTTGACAAAATCAATTAAGAAGAAGATCTTGGACTACTTGAACTCCAAGTATGACGACCCAGCCACTCAAGAACTTCTGGATATGGCCTGCTTCATGGATCCTCGGTTTAAAGCAGGCTACGTCAGTGGTGACAAGTTGCATGAAATCAAATCCCGAGTGATTTCAGAAATTGAAGCAACATTCTCAAAGGTAAATGGTGTCAACACAGTAAAATTTTCAAACTTAAGATTTTAAACTTATTTTCAATCTAATTTCAAATTGTATGTTTAAGGAGGAAAGCCATGACGCACAACAAGACAGAATGGATCCACCAGAAGACAAACAGAAGACGTCCAAAAGATCCCTAGGCAGCTTTTTCAAGTGTGCCCTGGCCCCAAGATCTACTACAATATCATCACATTTGGTAGATGGGGAACTCAACAGCTACCTTGTGTCTCCCACCATCGACAGCGAAGATCTCTGTTTTGGTGGAATGTTCATCAGGTTAATTTCCCGCATTTGAGTAAATTGGCCAGAAAATATATCTGTATTCCAGCAACTTAGCAAGTAGCTCACCTTCAGAGAGACTTTTCAGTACATCAGGTAATGTTGTTACATGCCAACGCACTTGCTTAAAACCTACCAATGTCAGCATGTTGGTTTTTTTGGCCAAAAACTTGTAGTTTACTTTAGTTCTGAGTTCTGTACTTTCTTTTGTTGAAATAATTTGCACTCAGTGAAGGCCTGGACACTTTGTTTTATTTTATTATGTATGAAAAACATGGACAGCATGTCTATTGGCACTTAACTATATAATTTACTGAATGTAAGTTTACTTTACATATTTTGATATTTCAGGTACAAACGATAAGGGAATGTTCAGTGTTTTAAGATAAGATGTGCTTTTGTTTTGTTGTAAAGCTCTTGTTTCAATACCTTTGCCAATTGCACTTTAAGTTTAAAGATTTTATTTTTCTAGGTACAAAAACAGAATGTTGTTTTGGTGAAGCTTTTTCTTCAAAATGATTGCCAATTTGCATGAAAAATACAATGTGTTATAATGCAAATAAATACAATCTTTGAAATTGAGTTATTCTTTTATCTGTAGAATGATGCAATATGCAACTTTAGGCAAGACTTGTGATCTTAATTGCAATGTTGGATTTTTTAAACCGTAGTACCTCTAACAATTCCTGCAGATAGCCTTTTTTAGGTGACAGAATAATATCGCAATAATATCGTTATCGAAGTTCTAGACACCCATATCGCATATCGCACTAATTTCCAATATCGTGCAGCCCTACACACCAGTCATTCTAGGCAATGATGGTGAAGTGTCTTGCCAAAGAGCTTAGCTTCAGAGGTCTGACAGGATCTGGCTTTCACATGCAGGTGTGGCAACAAAGTTGTATGGCAACAATGTTGTAGGCTATGACGCAAATCTACGTTGACAGAAATGTTGTGAATGAGCAAAAACAATTGCACAATTTGTACACGATGCAACGTAAAGTGCCTCACAGATCAAATAGACATATACAAAACCATAATTACTATATTGATCACATTATAAACCCAAACATTTGCATAATATAAATGTGATATCCTTTAGAAATGACTTGTTTCATTTCAATGATCAATCTACAAGTCTAAATACATAAGAAAGTTGTAATAATGACTCACGCATATTTCACCGTCTCCTGATAGAGCAGCGGCCTGTCATAGGGTAAGGTAAAGTCTCTGTGTGAGGAACATGTAGCGCTTTTCCATATTCACGGTACAGCACGGTACGGCACGGCAGGGCAAGGCGCGGCCGAGTGGGTGCTTTTCCATTAAAAATGGTACCTCCAAGTTTCTTCTCAGCGTGGGAGGGGTTGTCAACCCACGTAATTAACGCGCAATGCGTAATTAGTAACGCTGGTCTGATGTGTCACTTTTTGTCATTTGAAATGAAATGTTTTTAATTCGTGTTCAATACATAACTTAGTTATTTACAATACATGTATATTGTAAATCTAAGTATCAACTTGAAAAAGGAATGAGAAGTAAAAAAGGAATATATGATAAAAAGCATATGCCTAAAAATGTATTTTGCCCTTGTGTTTTGATTAAAAATAAAATCCTTCTGTATTTAGCAAATATACCTCCATCCTTGTTCATAAATTTACCACGGTTATACGGATTTACAGACAAATATAATTTACTTCTACACACATTCTAGTACACATTCTCAAACAAATACATATACACTCGACAACTTAATTCCAAGCACAGAACAGAATGGCAAAACGTGAAAGAGAAAAATCCAACACACTAGTGCAGGAAGGACATTTTAGCTTAGCTTGAATAGCTAAATGTAGCTAGCTCACTGTGTACAACAGACAATCACACATTTCAGTGATAGCTTTGGGCCAACGGGATACGTAGCTAACCAGTTATTTCCAGGATTACCACAGGCTAGTCACATATCAAGAGCTGGGCGATCTCCCTGAAAACCTTATTCCATGTTCCGTCGAGCTGCCTTTGAATGTTTTCTTTGGCCAAAAGAGAGTAAAAGAGTGTGGATCTTGTCGACCGACCAGGACTGACTTTTGGGGCTTTCTGTACGATTCCATTTCTCTGGAGTGAGGAGTACGTTATTATAATAGATCCACGGGACGACGTACTGAGGCAGAGCAGCCGGTTTTAAAGATGGCAGGGTTGTTTTTACTTGTTGACACTTGTTGACCAATCAGTGTAAGGCAGTCGGCTGACGTCACGTTATGGTATCGCTTCGGCACGGATGGAACCACAGTCGAGGTGGTACAAAAAAAGTACCCCCGATCCCAAGCCCAACCCTAGTGGAAATTCAAAAGAACTGCGCCGTGCCGTACCGTTACTGTGGAAAAGCGGCAATAGTTGTGAATAAAACTGAGAGGGTCCCATTCTTCTGCAACACATGTTCTTGTCATCTTGAAAACATAGACAATTTTTTTTTTTTTTTTTAAACATGAGCAATAGTATTGAGGACATGTACTTCCGGATCACACCGGTGCCCGCCGTGACATCACTGAGAGAGAAGTGCTGGTATGACTTGTTCCAAGGACTTTGCTATGGTCTTTTCTTGATTTGTTGGGATCAAGCAAAAAAAAATATTTTGAAACCTTTAGTGGTTCTCTTCTAATAGAAAATGGTGTTAAAACTTTATTTCCAATCGATACAAACCTTGCATAAGGGCTTTCATGTTTAAACGTTGGCTTAACACTTACACATTTCTCATTTAGTCACACATGCAAATAACAGTGCATTTGACAATTCAGGAGCACAGGTGAATAAACACAGGGAGAGAGCAGGGGAAACAGTAGTGGGCTGTGATATGGCCGGCCCCTAGCCAAGGAATTCCAATTGAGGTTTGCTTTATAGTAAACGGTCACAATATGTTCATTGTGTTGAAGACAAAACCTACTTCAGGGCAAAGGCCGAGTGTGCACTCTTGACTCTATGACAATCCGTCCGTAGAACACCGGAGCACAAAGATGCCAAATCAACGGGACAACATGGCCACATGAAAGCAGGACTCGCAGGGCAACAGAGCGACACCGTGGCACTACAACAACTTTAACATTAGGGTCTATACATTATGGATATTGGAGTGAAAGCAACTACCTAGAGAAGCAGGAGACTGGCGCAAAAAAGTCAGTGTCGGTCTAAACTTAGCTGCGTCAAGTGAAAATGTGTACTATCTGTGCCCTCTACTGGACACAATTAGGGTGGCTTAGTCCAGCTTGCCACATTTGCCTCTGTGCGTGTAACCATGTTTGTCTTTTTTCGAAGTAGATCAAACCCAGTCCTGATATCTGCTGGAAAAGAAGTGATTGTTAGAAATTCCATTGGTAATCCATCAGCGTCTGTCAATCTTAATCTATCAGAGACTTTGCACAGAAGGAGCCGTAGCTCTCCTATATAGTCCTCTTAGGTTCTTTCAATCTAACAGAGACAATTCACATAAATGATTTGAAATAAATGACAGACAAGTAAATTCAATTCAAATATTATATTGAAGATTATGCAAGCAGAAGCAGAATATTTATGCTCAGCGAACATTTCAAAAACATCATTTGTTGATTAAACCCAAAGAAAAAGCCAAAACTTTGGTGTAGAAGGGGAGAGTCTGCTGAACATGTTCTTCTACATATTTCTATACAGATACATAACCCCTTTGTTCCCAAAACTGAAAACCCATCCTAGCTCTAACAAACTCTTTTTCCAAGACCAGTGAAAGCATTTGTTCAAAGCGGGTCCTGGTACCCTAATGAACTTTCTATTTTCAAACAATTATAATAATTAAAGCCGCAAGCGGCGATGAAAGGCCTCGCCCCTCTTGCGACCGCCTCCTGGGCGCCAGTCCCACAAGCGTCACGCCGACGAATATGCAGCCCGATCTGACCAGGACTACGAATATAAAAGCTCATTAATATGATAAAGTGCGCCCCTAGTGGTCACCTCCGGGACATGCACCCTCTACGTAGAGTAGTATTTTGCTCGTACAGATGTAAAGATTTGATTTTGCAACTTTGGTGAAGATCGGAAAAGTTTAGGTCAGAAGCCTTCCATAGGTGGCGCTGTAGAGTCATATTAGGTGTGTGTTTTCACACCATTACTCTCAGGCCATTACCAACTGTTAGTGATGTGAGTTTTAGCTCTGTAGGTCTGTGGTCAGGAGAGCAACAATCATGGAGAAAATCCACACCACCTCACATGAAAACGATGAGGAAATTCTAACTTTTTCTTGATGGCTGTATAACTTCAATCCGTCCAGATGGAGAAATTATGTGGTGGAAGTCTCTGCGATGAAAAACCAGGGACTAGATGAAATTCAAAAAGACAACACCTTGTACCCTATTGCTTTCCGACGGAGACCTCATATTGGGAAATGTATTTTAGTGTCATTGCGTTAATCTAATAATAACCTAATAATACTGATGTGAGTCTCAGCTTGGTAAGTCTGAGCCTATGGCAAAGAGAACAGGCTATAGTTCACCCCTAGTGGTCATCAGTGGGACATGGACCCTCTGCGTGGTGTAACATTTTTGCTTGTATGGATGTAAAGATTTGACCCGGTGACTTTGATGCAGTTTAATGTTTGGTTCAAAGCCTCCCATAGGTGGCGGTCTAGAGGTAATATTAGTGTGTATTTTCACGTAATACAGTTCTACAGAAAGTGATTAATGGAGGAAAAACTACCAAGAGGTGGATTAATTAAACACAACAAACCATTTATTCCCAATAAATAAATACATTTACTTTGCAACACAAAAGTTATTATGGGTAGACCAGGACTCAAACGATACATATTCTGCTTCGGAGTCCGTCATATACCGACTGCGCCACACAGCTGTTGTGAGATGTATCATCCATTGTATCATTAGTACTAACTTGAAGCCTTGATATATGAGGATTTACTAAAGTGAAACGTTTTTAATTGTATTTCATATGAAGTTGTTTCTCTATACTTAGTACAGGACTGCTCCACATCACGCACACACA